CATCTCGTCGAGGTTCATCAAGGTGAAAAAAAAAAGGCTCCAGCCTGCTTCGACGAGAGGAGACGAAGAAGTCGACCGAAATGCGTTTTCAGACTAACTCGTCGAGTCTCCCTGAGCGCCCTCCCTTGGCTTTTCCCTGGCTGTCGGCTGTCGAAGGGGATAAAAATGGACTGAAAAGGGGAAACTTGCGAGGAAGAGTGGGAGAAGATGCATCAGGTTCGCTGATTTCTCGATGCTTGCTTCACAAAGTGAAGAAAGTGGAATTAACCTACCAGGTAAACGCAAATCTCGTAAATCTGGTGGCTATTTATCACTTAGCAAATAATTGAATTTAAAGTCTAGCATGAATACGAAGTCTTTGCATTTCACTAATAGAAGAACGTTTCGTCGTAGTTGTCAGTGACGTATTTCTCGTCAAAGAAGGTTTTGTCACCAGTTCGAAACGCATGGACTGCAGGTTTCTGAAGAGAACCTCGTAACCCTTCCAGGTGCACATGTGCTTCCTATACGGGATATCGTTCGGGGTCGTTGGTGTGTTCTTGGTAATCGTCCAAAACGCCAGCGTTCGCCCGACATCTCCTCATTTCCCTCCAATGTCTTTCAGCGTCCTCCCCGGCCTGCTCCTTTGCTTCTCCCTGATACTGCAGGGGACGTGGAACATCCAGAACGCAACGATCTTGCAACCGCCGTGGAATAACGCCTGGTATCTGTATAGCCCGGAGCACGTCGTGCTCATCATGTCCTATTGGTGCATCCATGCCATCTTCGCTACGGCCCTCGTGCTTCGTCCTCGTGCTTGTCACTGAACGGATTGTCAAGAGCAAGCTGGGGAAGAACAATATTGCCTTTCAGGTTCGTCACCACGCGAACGATGACTACTTACGAATTCATTCTTTTCACCATAGATGTTCGGTCATTTGGTTCAACTTTCTAACAAGACTTGTTAGCAAGTTAGATTTTGGGGGTTGCGGACCACGTTGCGCACCCTTTCACCAAATTCAACTCACTTTCTGTCGCCTCTGCTTGAAGTGCAGACCTACATTTTTTGTCTGCCGGCTATTCTCAAAATTATGAAACCGTTTCCCATAATTAATCCACTAATGAAATGATCTAGCTCTTTCACCTATTGACACAAGATATTCCAGCAAAGTTTAGGAAATGTTGAGGAACAATGATGCTTCTATGTGTAAATGTCTCTAAACTCCCCATTGCTCAAATGTTCCGAATGAATATTGCATTGCCATTACAAATCGTAAATTACTCATTACATATACTTGGTACGTTGCAGAAACGTTTCAGGACTGATGTTGCTGGAATGTTGATGGAAAATCTTGCTTCACAGTCACCTAATCAGAACCTATTTTGGCATTACAACCAGGAAATACATCGGTTTCACTGGCCCTGAATTTGATAGGGCTTTTTTTTTCAAAATCGCCACAAAAGGGCAACATAGGTAACATTTCGGAAAAGTTTCATCAACATACTCTCCTACCTGGGTACATTACCCAAGTATAAGTCATATGAATCACCTCTAAACAGTGCCATTTGGAATTGCTCGTTATAGGCAAAGGGTATTGGAAAAAAACTGACGTGCATCTCAGCACATTGTAACCATTCAATGTCGATCGCATTTCCGATATATCTAATTTCATAGACTCATAAACCTGCGTTTCTCCCTCAGAAAATGGATGGGTATTAAAAAAGAAATCACTCGTAATGTGATGGTTTTTCATGGTTGTCGAAATACTGCACACTTCCAACACTTTTCTTGACAGAACGAGAAAGAGCCTTTATTGAGCTACCGTCGTGATGAGAGAAAGTCATTCTGATTCAACGAGTAGATGTTGATTCTATGCGACTAAGGTCACAGATGAGGTCAGGTGGCTTGTTAATCTCCTTAAAAGCAAAGAAACCACTTTTTATGCGAAAAAATGCCCCCAGTGAACGAAGGCAGCCCTGTGACTCATCAACTACAAGGCCACTGAACTCCCTTGTCCAGGTTCCCCCACCCATAGGGAAACTCAATTTTAAAGTTCAGGGCGAGGACTCACACCTAGGCAGCCTCACGTGGGGCCTTTTCTTCATCAGTAAGGTATGGAACTATGAAATAATTGGTTAGGAATCAGGCTCATCGCAGGTGTGCTTAAAAGAGGTAGAATATATACACAGGCCATTTCCTTCAATGATCTTTTCATGCTTCTGCCATGGTTCCGGTTTAATGAGTAGCGATTTAATTGCGGTTAAATGAGTAGCGATATATATTTATTCGTATTAATTGACGAACATCACAAACTTATTCTCCTTGCCTTCCATCATTTTTCAGACCAATTTTAAAACTGCCATGTCCTGATGAACATTCAAGCGAGTCAGCATCACGTCTTTCCTGGTAAATGTCGGTCTCTGTCTCCATGCATGCATGGGGGGATGTGAAACATCTCGGTCGAAAACAGGGAAAGTTTGAGGAATTTTCGAAAAGAGACCAGTCAGGATGACTTCTTTCAGACTTCGTCCTGTTACAGAACAGCCTTATTTATACGGAACACATGTACATACGCAGGGTTCGATGGATTTGCGGTGAAGAAGAATAGTTTGAACGCTTCCAAGTTTACGCAGTGTATTCGACCTTGCACAGAAACCTATATGAATCACCTTTTTCCCCAGCTTCTGCATGGATTCCCTATTAATCTCAGTTGATATAGGAACAGGGAAGATGAAACTTGGTCCCACAGTTGCTCCGATCTTTTGTCATCCCATCCCTTTTATGGTTTAGTTTTGCTTTTGCCCTATGAGACCTTGAATAATATTACCTTGCCAAATTTTAGCATACAAATTCCCAGTCATTTTCCTTCTAAGTGACCATCATTATACACATCTTAGAGAGATTGCTTGCCCTTCGGGAAAACAACAGGCTAATATAGTGCAAATGATTTCTCAAATTATTTGTTTTCAGCCTAACGTTAAATCTCCTCATATTCTGTCACGATGGATCTTATTTGAAAAGTTGCATACGGACTTCGTAATCCAACTGGTAATTCGGCTCCAAGTTTCAACTTGGTTAGAACCCGGATAGAATCTCTTTCAAGAAAGGCAAGATGCTATCGCTTCTCTCCTGTTTCCCTTCCATATCCTCTATGCAGACAATAATGCTGTTATCATAGGACGACATTTCCAGGGAGTCAGCATGATCCTCGATCTTCTCACCACCTCTAAAATTCCTCGATTTGGTTTTTTTTTCGTAATAGAAATTTTCGTCTCCAGTTGCTCGTTGTCACAGTCAAAACGAAACGTCTCGTCAGAAGTTGGTACCTCCCCGTATTGTAGAGACCACGTGAGTTAGGCCGAGTAAGCCCATACGCAAGGAACGTATTCGTTGTGTCTATTGGGTCCTTGAAGTCTTTTTGTCCGTGGAGGCCATTTTTGAAACCGTTTCGCGACGATGTGCAAATTGATACCCCGGAGTTCGAAAACTTCCAGACATCGTTTCCTTCTGCGAATCGGACCAGGAAGGGAATGGGACGAAGATGGACGAGGTCCAAAGTCGTCGCGTTATAAAAAATTATTCTGGAACTGATTGAGATCTGTTGAATGTCGAAGAGTGGAAATGCGTGATTTCTAAGGAAATTCGCCCAAATTTCCTCCCTCCTCGAAAGGCTTACCTTTTTGTCGATGATGATGACACGAAGAAAGGTTGCTCGATTCTGAAGTCAATGTAATATATTCTTTGACTTGTCATGCATCTCAGTACATTCTAACCGTTTAATTTCGATCGCATTGCTGAAGAACAGTAAGGGAGACACAGTTACAAACTGTGTCAAGGTCAAGTACTGAGTATTGAGTTCACATTGCTCAGATTATCTTAAACCTAAAGTCCGTTGGTATGCGATAAAGGACCGAAAACTAACCACGATCAGTGCGCAGTACTGGACTTTTATTGGTTGAGCCGCAGCCGTTCAAAGTCAACCATACGATTTTAGGCAATTTTATCCCTCACACTCTGACATGGACAAATTGGAATTCATTAGTACTCTGTGTATTCACTTTCGGCCTTCAACACTACCAGTACCATTCTAGATATGTTCTCGATCAAGTCCTAGCATATTTAGACGGAAATGGTGTCCCACTCGATTGTGACCTGCCGCCATAATTCGTGGAAGTTGATTGGCTCATTGTAATACACAGCAAGTCATGGTTTGAAGGCTTGCTTTAAATGTTCCATTGGGTTGATGTCTGGTAACTGCTGGCCATTCTAGTATCTCGATTCTTTGTTCCTGGAAGCATTGGTGAGCCACCAGGGAGGTGTGTGAGCCTGGTAACAGGCCGACTTTGTGGTGGAGAGAGTAAAGCTCGGACAGTTATAGATAACAACTCTCGTTAAGAAGGAGCTCTTACGAACATATGTGGTACCGTATATAGGAAGGAACATAAAATTATCCATATCCGACTCCCTTCGCCGTCATGCAGCCCCAAATCATCATGCAGTGTCCACCATGCTTACAAGGCCTCTCCGACATGCCACGCTGTTTCCATATCCAATCACGCCCTTTCGACTACATGAGGTTGATTTTTATGACCAAATATATGTTTGCAGTCACCTATGGTCCATTGTATTCGACGGCAGGAGAATTCCTCCAGCTGCCGAGATCATAGCAGTCGGCATGTGACGGGAAACCGTTAGTATAGTGGGGTCATGCAGACGTTTTGGGGCTCCATGACGGCCAAGGGAGTCGGATATGGATGTAAAATACAAGGAAGGATATATACATTGGTGCATACAAGCATACTCGATGAAGAATTGCTCTCATAAATAGAGATAGACCGGCTCGAAATGAGAGAGGTGGTGTTTCATCCGGACGATGACATCCTACACACAACTTAGTATCGTCCTTACTATCGTCTCCAAAAATACGCTTATGCCTTTTTGGAAGCCGCGTTGCGATGTTATGAAAAAAGATAACCAGGCGTGTCGTGCAGTATATCGTTCGAAAGCTTATTGTCTGTAGATGTGCATCGTGCAAAGCACATTCGAAGTGCGAGATCACAACGTTTACCGCAATGCTACCCCTGGTTCCTACAAAAGCAAATACGACTGCTGCTTGGGTGTGTGGTGCTCGACAGACTCATTCGTTCAGCTTTGTAACGTCGTCGCGTCATCATTCCACGTCGAATATTTCACAGTGAAATCTTCTCGTGTGACGAGCAATAATTTTGGTAATCTGATATGAACCAACGCCACGACGATTTCCATTAAATCCACGAAATGTTGCTAATTCGAATATGGGTTCTCAAAAATCGGGATCGGCAGTTATTGCAGCAAAATAACGAGGAGAAGTAAAGAGTTGAGCAGTCGGGAAATAAAGCATCACTTTCATTCATCCCTCGGCGTCAACGTATTTGACCGCGTTTCGCATCGCGAATCGGAGCGGGAATAGAAAGGGACGAAGATGAATAAGGTCCACGGGGAGTCGCATTAGGCACTCCCGTTCGCGAACGGGTCGAGACCGATTGGGTATCCACGAATGTCGAAGAAGGAAAAAGTGTGATTTACCATTACACCCGCCGATTTTAACGGACTTCTCGGAACTAACAGATGCGCACGTTGGGGACAGCGTCGATGCCGGAGGATCGTTTCTCAAGACATTGCAGGGGATCGACAGCCACTTCATGGCCGGCTCGTGGATCCTCTCGCTCGGCCTCCTCTTGGCGTGGTACAACCTCACTCGATGGCAGCGCAGCCGGCTGGACCATGATTCCACTCCGTTCCGTTTCTCCATCCGGTTCTTCCCCAGCGTCTGGGCCCTGGACTTCTGGGCCGTCTTCATCTTCTTCATCGGAGCGATCATCGGTGAGTATCGTTCCAGCATTCGAAACGGAACGTGTCACGGAATGTAATTCCCGATTCCCTCGCAGAGGTTAACTCTGTGTACACAGGCATTCCGGAGGCGAACCTCCAGCACTCAGGAATATACTCTGCCTACATGTTCTTCGCGCTGGTCGGGATCTGCACGGTGAGGGGCGTGGCCCTTCCTCCCGCCTCCAAAGAGGCAGCCTTCCTCGTCGCAATAGCACTCGAATGGATCTCCATCAAAAATCATCACTTACCTAGCCCTCTTCATAATNGGGAGAGAAGGGGGACAAGAGAACGAGTCAAGGGGTGAGCAGAGGAGACAAGATATGAAAGTTATGAACAGTAGAGAGAAAAGGAGCAGCTAAACAATGACTTTAGAAAAGGGTGAGCGGTGTTCAGACGAGGAACAGGCTGGAGAGAGAAACCAAAAGACGAAGAGAGGGTAGGAAGAGCCCGAGCGAGTCGCTCGCAAACCAGGTACTGGGAAGCCTTGAGAAAGGCAGTTCTAGCTGCCGGGAGTTCTACCCCCGGCAGCTGGGGCATGGAAAGGCAGTGAACTCATAGCGAGCTGCTACCAAAATCCTCTAGAGCTGGGATTCTACTCTTCACTTATTCCGTGCATTGCTGTAATAAAAAGCTTAACTTCAGCATTTAATGATTCCCTGAGTCATATATTATGAAAATATATATTGTAATTTCATGATTTCCATATATATATTCATGGATTGAATAATAAAAAGTGGAAGGATGGTAAGAAAATCGAATATTCCATCAGGAAAGCCAGTACTTAATAGTATTTGTCGGATGCAGGGACCAAGGGTTCCATCTTGTGAGGAATCTTGGTACTGCAGCTGCAGGATGGTCAGCTAAAGTTTCATACGGATGTTGTGGCGTTAATTTTGAATAAACTTGATATCATGTACTTCACGTCAAATGGAGTGACGTCTAATTCATGTAAAATAAAAACACGTACACTTTGGTGACGTAAATCTAGGAACGTAAATTTTACGTAAAAGTGATGTCATTTCCATGGCAATCGCAAGAAATTTACATTTTTGCAAGGAATTGATATATTGTTTACGTAAACATGCTGCTTGGGCAATCATCCCAACAGTTCGTATATGCCAAACATGAAGATTTTATCTTTCTTATAATTTCCAGAATATATGAATGTGACTTTCTCCCATGGAAAACGATATGGCGTTTTTTTAAATCACCCTATATATTCCTGCACCACTGTACCACTGTAAGTGGATAAAGTAATGAGTACACTTATTTATGGTGGAAAGAATGAATTCGCAAGTAGTCATCGTTCGCGTGGTGGCGGACGAACCTGAAAGGCAGTTTTGTCCTTCCTCAGTTTGCACTTGACAACCCTTTCGGTGACAAGCACGAGGACGAAGAGGAGGGCCGCAGCGAAGATGGCATGGAAGCACCAGTAGGACATGATGAGCAAGACGTGCTCCGGGCTGTTCAAATTCCAGGCGTTGATCCACGGTTGTTGCACGATCGTTGTGATCTGGATGTTCCACGTCCCCTGCAGTATCAGGGAGAAGCAGAGGAGCAGGCCGGGGAGGACGCTGCAGGACATTGGAGGGAAGTGCGGGGATGCTGGGCGGACGGTGGCGTTTTGGACGAGGACGGAGAACACACCAATGACCCCGAACGATATCCCGTATAGGAAGCACATGTGCATCTGGAAGGGTAACGAGGTTCTCTTTAGAATCCTGCAGTCCCACGTTACGAACCAGTCATACTTCACTGGTAACAAACCCTTCTTTGACGAGAAATGTATCACTGACAACTACGAAGAAGCATCCTTCGGTTATAGTGAAATGCAAAGAGTTCGGAATCATGCTAGACTTTAAATATAATTATTTGCTTATTGATAATTAGCACAAGATTTACGTGACTTGCGTTTTGCTGGTAGGGCGATTCCACATCCTTCACTTCGTAAAGCAAACATCGAGAAATCCGTGAACCTAATAAATTTCCGGTGTTCTTCCTCAGGACTTCATCTCTCATATTCCATTAATCAAAAGCCGAATTTAGATTGTCGTCAATAGATATCGAAAAGAAAATCTTCCATTCGGCTGCTATATTCCAATCCATGCATTTTCGAATCGGAAAATTAATTCTGGACGCTGGAGTGCATATGCAAGAAGCATCATCGTTGCCTTTGTCCCTCTTCAGAGTGATTGGGAAATACTTAATTTTTTCTACTGAATTATTAATGGCTTCTGAAATGAAAATTCCTGAGCAACCCGAATGCAATGGTGCATATCTATCAAATTCAAAACCTTTTCCCCTCTAGAATCCAATGCAATTGAACTACTTTAATCCAATCCACTTCAAATGCAATTAAGAACCGGCAAAAAGAGCGTATGAATGATTTTACCGCATTATGAAGAGGGCTAGGTAAGTGATGATTTTTGATGGAGATCCATTCGAGTGCTATTGCGACGAGGAAGGCTGCCTCTTTGGAGGCGGGAGGAAGGGCCACGCCCCTCACCGTGCAGATCCCGACCAGCGCGAAGAACATGTAGGCAGAGTATATTCCTGAGTGCTGGAGGTTCGCCTCCGGAATGCCTGTGTACACAGAGTTAACCTCTGCGAGGGAATCGGGAATTACATTCCGTGACACGTTCCGTTTCGAATGCTGGAACGATACTCACCGATGATCGCTCCGATGAAGAAGATGAAGACGGCCCAGAAGTCCAGGGCCCAGACGCTGGGGAAGAACCGGATGGAGAAACGGAACGGAGTGGAATCATGGTCCAGCCGGCTGCGCTGCCATCGAGTGAGGTTGTACCACGCCAAGAGGAGGCCGAGCGAGAGGATCCACGAGCCGGCCATGAAGTGGCTGTCGATCCCCTGCAATGTCTTGAGAAACGATCCTCCGGCATCGACGCTGTCCCCAACGTGCGCATCTGTTAGTTCCGAGAAGTCCGTTAAAATCGGCGGGTGTAATGGTAAATCACACTTTTTCCTTCTTCGACATTCGTGGATACCCAATCGGTCTCGACCCGTTCGCGAACGGGAGTGCCTAATGCGACTCCCCGTGGACCTTATTCATCTTCGTCCCTTTCTATTCCCGCTCCGATTCGCGATGCGAAACGCGGTCAAATACGTTGACGCCGAGGGATGAATGAAAGTGATGCTTTATTTCCCGACTGCTCAACTCTTTACTTCTCCTCGTTATTTTGCTGCAATAACTGCCGATCCCGATTTTTGAGAACCCATATTCGAATTAGCAACATTTCGTGGATTTAATGGAAATCGTCGTGGCGTTGGTTCATATCAGATTACCAAAATTATTGCTCGTCACACGAGAAGATTTCACTGTGAAATATTCGACGTGGAATGATGACGCGACGACGTTACAAAGCTGAACGAATGAGTCTGTCGAGCACCACACACCCAAGCAGCAGTCGTATTTGCTTTTGTAGGAACCAGGGGTAGCATTGCGGTAAACGTTGTGATCTCGCACTTCGAATGTGCTTTGCACGATGCACATCTACAGACAATAAGCTTTCGAACGATATACTGCACGACACGCCTGGTTATCTTTTTTCATAACATCGCAACGCGGTTTCTAAAAAGGCATTAGCGTATTATTTTTAGAGACGATACGAAGGACGTACGCAGGAGACTTCAAGGACGCAGGAGACTTTAAGGACGCAGGCGACTTCAAGGACACAATAGACTTTGTGAATAGGAAGGAAGAAATACCAGAGCGAGCCGGATCGGGTGCGCCCGAAGTGTTGTGGCCCTCCATCAGGAAATCGGAACTGCCGCTGTTGCTGGTCGATCTCCGCTTTTAAAGAGGATGAAAAGAAAAAAAGAAGAAGAAGGTTGAAGGTGTTGATGAGTGTGAGGATGATCGTGCCGACTCACTTCCAATGTCGGCCTATGATATCAGCATTGCTGTCGACGCGAAGTTCCTTCGCGCGACGCAGGAAAGAACGGCAAGCGGAAAGCCGTCGCCGACGTCTTTCCTCGTTTCGCCGAGCGGCATCCGCGGCGGAAGTGGCTCTGGGAGCCGGCGAATGAAGCGAACAATGCTTCTTCGTTTGGGATTCCCATAAAAAAAGATTTCCTGCTGAACGATCTCGTTCCATCGCGGAATCGGTTCTGGTGCGAGCACGCGTCTCGATATTCATTCGATCAGCGTCGAACGAGGTTCCCTGCCGCATCTCTGCTCGTCTAACGTCTCTCTGCAATGCTACCGGAGAAGCCACCGATTTCGCGTTTCTCGTGAAGTCTTCGAATCGGCATGAAAAGTATCCGATGGAGCCAGGCGAAAAAAAAATACGGTGGGCTGTTTGGTTAATAAGGGAACGAACTCGCAAGATTTTCACGGTATGCATTTTATTTTCCCCATCGCGTTCGTTTTCCTCGTGGCTCCTCTTTGATGCATCTCGAGGCATCTTCTCCCACTCTTCCTCGCAAGTTTTCCCCCGGGAGACTCGATGTCTGAAAAACGAGAATCGAAACGGATTTCGGTCGTCTTCTCTCGTCGAAGCGGAGGCGGGACCGGAGGCTTTTTTTTTTTTCTCCTTGGTGAACCTCGACGAGATGTGCGGCATTTTCCGAAGAACCTGCTCGTAAAGAGGCTTCAATGCATTGAGAGTTCATTTTCTCCCTTTTCTCACGGCTATTTTCCCGGACAAATTGAGGCATCCCGTGTCTCAACTTCCCCGTTTCACCTCTCACTCCATCTGCTGGAAGGCGGAAAATGGATCTTCGTCGATAAAACGTCGCGAATAACAGAAAACGTTTTAAAATTTACATCATGATAGTTTTGAAGTCTCTAGGTCGTTTGGGCAGAGAGCAACGGTCCTTGAACGTCCGTCAATGTGGAATGTCATATCGTTCGAGGGGGAAAGTCGTTCTCTCAGTGGATGAGACGCACTTTATGTCTGTACGATTAATTTCGCTTTTAATTCAGACAGCTTGGGCGCTTGAAGCTTTAGGGAAGTGAATTTTTATAGTGTTTTCAATGCGATATTCAAAGAAAATGACGATCTGAGAATTTTCATCGTCGGTTTCACAAGGTATTCTATACCTCTCCATGCGTTTTTTATTCACCGAATTCGACCAAAGTATAAACGAAACGAGGGAGACCTAGCAGACCGAGCTGGACCGATGGCATCCGAGACGTTCGAGTTCTCCACGGAGGAAATCACCGCTGGCAAAGCCGACGGAAATCGTCGCGGCGAGTCGCCGATCCGCGCGAGAGACCGAGGAAAGTCAGGAGGAGGGCGGTAATGCTGACTCGCGTCCATTTCCATCCCATTATGGAGATATCAGCGTCGGCGTGGAAAATCATATGATATGAACATTCCTCATGAGCGCGTGGTCGAGAGCCGTCGATTACCGATCGTTATCGGTCGATGATGTGGCATCTTTTCCACCGCTTTCGAGGTCCGGGATGGAAGGTGAAAACAAATATTCATTTCGTTGCAAATTCGCAAATCATCTTCTGGGTTTCGTGTCCATAAAGGCGATGGAAGGTCATCACCGATTTGATTCCTTTCCCTAATGCCCGTGAGAAAATGCTACGAGGGCCACTCAATAAGTTATCTACCTGAATATGAAAGGGATGAGCAACAGGCCTGTGCCTGTTGTGTCATGTCTCGACGGGTCTCGTGAGTGCCCCACCATTATACCAGCTCAGTGGCTCGAGTCCGTTCAAAGTGGTAGCACATTAGATTTCTTTTCCCGAGTCTGTGTCATGGATTTGACGAAAGTCGAACATCGTTCAGTGATGAAATTCCTCACCAAACTAGGGAAAGCACCTAAGGAGATTCACGAACGTATGTCTAACGTTTACGGTGTGTCTTCGCCTTCTTATTACAGAGTTAACTTTTGGAGCAAGCAGTTTAAGTGGGGAAGAGAGTCGATCGAAGATGACCCAAGGCCCTGTGGAGGCTTCTGATCAGGAAATGTGTGACGAATTGGAGAGTGCGATGCTGGAGGATCGTCGCACCAAAGTCTCCGTTTTAGCTCATGAACTGGGGATTTCAGAGGGCACAGTGATTCACATCATTTATGAAAAATTACACATGTCCAAAGTCGGTTCTCGATGGGTCCCAAGAATGCTGACTCCAGCTCAGAAGAAGAACACATCTGACATCTGCAAGGAAAACTTGGGGTTTTCTAAACAAATCGGGGAAACTTTTTTTCCTAGAATAGTAAGTGGTGATGACACTTGGGTTCATCACTGGGATCCCGAAACCAAGCAGGAGTCCATGCAGTGGAACCACAAGGGATCGCCAACGCCTCGCAAATTTCCTGTTCAGAAATCTGCAGGAAAGATTATGGCCACCGTGTTTTGGGACAGCGAGGAACTACTGCTGCTCGAGTTCATGCCAGACGAGTGTACAATCACTGGCGATTCCTATGCTACCACCATGAAAAATTTACATGATGCCATCGAGGAAAAACGCAGAGGAAAGTTGTCAAGGGGGGGTCCTTCTTCTCCATGACAACGCGCCCGTCCACAAATCATGGAAAGTTCAGGCAGCAATGAGGAGTGTGGCTTTCAGGAGCTGAATCATCCTCCCTACAGCCCGGATCTGGCTCCTAGTAACTATTTTCTGTTCAGACACTTGAAAAAATTTTGCGGGGAAAAAGATTTTCATGCAATGAAGAGCTTTGACGCGTGACTAGCACCAATCAAAAGCCAGGAAATAGCGTATGGTTGCCTGAAATCCAAATTCTATTAGACTCGTTACACTTGAGTTATGAGTCATGAACTGGAACTGTGTCAAACATTGACACAGAGTTGTCCCTCACTGTTCTTCAGCAATGCGATCGAAATTAAACGGTTAGAATGTACTGAGATGCATGACAAGTCAAAGAATATATTACATTGACTTCAGAATCGATTTGTTCGTGCTTATGGCTCAGAAATTGCTCCGATTCGAAGAAAGAAAAAAACCGAATTTTTCGTTTGTCCAAGTTCAATCCTTTGTAAAGTATATATACGTTTAAACTCGTTTTAGGGATCAAACTTGGGAAAACAACTAGAATTGAATTTTGAGGTTTAATGAGCATTGAACATTACTGCGGTTAGAATGCAATAATCCACCTGTAAACTTTGTAACGGGACAATGAATGGCTCTGAGAAATCTGAAAAAAGCTGACAATCATCAAAACACTTTGTATATGCGCAATACCAAGAGATTAAAAATCTTATCCCTCTGTAAGATGAGTGGATGCATCCACTCATCTTACAAGTGCATTCATTACATGTTGTAATGAATGCACTTGTTTCAGGTAGAAATGAATAATTCGCAAGGAGTCATCTTTCACATAGTGACTGACCTTAGAAACAGTTTTGCACTTGCTCTTCTTGCATTTGACGACCCTTTCTGCGACGAGTATGAGGATGAAGAGAAAGAAAGCAGCGAAGATGGCATGGGCGCTCCAGAGGGAAACGATGAGCCTGACGTGCATCGGGCTGTACAAATTCCAGGCGCTAATCCACGGCTGTTGCACGATCGTTGTGATCTGGATGTTCCACGTCCCCTGCAGTATCAGGGAGAAGCAGAGGAGCAGGCCGGGGAGGACGCTGAAAGACATTGGAGGGAAATGAGGAGATGCCGGGCGGACGCTGGCGTTTTGGATGACGACCAAGAACGCGCCAATGATCCCGAACGATGTCCGTATCCGGAGCACATGTGAATCTGGAAGGGTTTCGATGTTCTCTTTAGAACTGTGCAGTCCCGGGTTACGAACTAATTTATACCACTCTGGTGACAAACTATTCCGTGAAAAGAAATGTATCACTGACGACTATGACGGAACACTTTTTGCCTACAGCACACCAAATGAATTGCGATGAGCTTGGAAATATGTTTTTGGAAATATTTTTATATCATTTTCTGCTTAGAAGTAACTAAGAACAGGATTCATGTGGTTT